TGGGTCTAGTTAGGATGTTACACTTGGTGGCTTCACCACTGAATTAGGATGTGCCTGCCTCTGGGCTTGTATCAAATTTCCATTGTCTACATGCGCTCTGGCATGCATTCAAGGCCTCTGCACCTTTTAGCATTCTCTCAAGATTCTCACACCCATCGACAAAGCCTGGATGTTAGGTTTTGCTCATCCAGGAGGGATGGAAAGAGTATTTTTTTCCCTCTCAGAAAAGAAAGAGTTTTTGGATATTGCCTGCCCGAAAAGTAATCAACATGGCTATTATAAAGGTTTTCTGGCAAAAGAATTTGTGTTCTTTATCTTTGGATTCAGTGAGTGACACTAGGTATAAATGCTTGTTGAACCAAACCCAAGGTAGTGGTTGAGCTCTGTGACTTACCTGTCACCGTTCCAACCCCTCCTTTTCCAGTGTACTCCCACTCTCTTCAGATAAACAGAATGAAACTCACTGTTGGGTAGACTTACTGTTCCTTCTCCCCCTTCCTAAGTGCTTTTGCCTTGCAGCTCTTTTGCTAAGAGTGCTCCTTTCCAGAATAAGCTGTAGTTCAAGACCACCCACTTCCATAGTAAGTCCTTTACTCGGTTGCTTACTTTGTGGTTTTGATGGGTAACCTGTCAGAATAGGTTAGAGAACATAAGTTACTGTTTTAGGTGGCTGTCATATCTCCTTGCAATCAGCTGTCAGCTGCTTGAGGGTAGTGATGCTGTCTTGCTCTTCCTTGCAACCTAGGCTCTAGGATGGGCGCAGCACAGAGTACTCCATACAGATGCTGGCCCCTGACTTTGTGGAACATACCGGAGGTACTGTTGTGGCTGATAACTTCCACACTAATAAGCTCCTGCCCAGTGCAGGGAGGAATGCTAATCTCCCGTAAGCACGTTTCTTCTTCTTTTTCTTCTGAGGCAGGATCTCACTCTGTCACCCAGGCTGGAGTGCAGTGGTGTCATCATAGTTCACAGCAGCCTCAAACTCCTGTGCTCAAGTGATCCTCCTGCCTCAGCTTCCCAAGTGATGCACACCACAACGCCTGGCTAATTTTTCTATTTTTAGTAGAGACAGGATATTGCTCTTGCTCAGGCTGGTCTCAAACTCCTGAGCTCAAGTGATCCTCCCACCTCAGCCTCCCAGAGTGCTAGGATTACAGGTGTGAGCCACTGTGCTCGAAGCACGCTTCTTGAGTCACTCTGCTCTTAAACCTTCAGCAGCTTCTGGTTTCCCTTTAGAACTCTTCTCTGTAGCTGTTAAGGTCCTTCAGTCCCTTCCCCTCTCTTTCACCAGTAGACATCTCTGCTCTCGCTAGGCTGCCCAGAAACAAGCCTCACTGAGGTCCGATTCTGATTCTCCGTCATCAAGGACATCCTCACTCTTCCCTTCCAGCGGTCCAGTCCTTCAGATCCTGCCCTGTCCCCATCCCTTACGGTCACTGAGGCCCTCGAAGATTTTCCCATGGCTGAGCTGCCATACACTTTCAGTGTGTCCTTCAGCAGGCAGTTATTCACTTATGTCCCTAACAAGATTGTGAGCTGCTTGAGAGTTGCCGTGTCAAAGGGTGCCTGGTACGTTCCCAGACACACAGGGCTCACGAGTGTGTGTTAGAGGACTGACAGAGGCATACCTGCTTCTACGACCCCCTCTTATCAGCCACTTGCATTCTCTACCTCTAAATTTTAGTAGTTACGGGATACTGAGAAAGAAGCATCCGTCTGAAAAATGGCAACCCAAACAAAGACTTCAGCGACATTTTTAGCGTTTATTGGTCAATCCTGCTGCTGATACTGAGTCACCACTCATTTGTGGTGAATCTAAGCCTCACTTTATGATTCACATTCTAAAAATGGGGTGAGGTTTTTACTGAGAAACTAATTCCAGTGTGAACTTAGCCTCACAATTATTAGGTTCTTCCGTGGGTTTGCAGTTGCTAGCACAGCACTTCTCAAGGTCTAGTGTCTTATGGGTCACTGGATGTGGCTGTCCCATGGCAAATACCTAGAACCCATTGCACAGGGCTATGCAGTAGCATAGGGGGTTCCCTCTAATAAATTTGTTCTACAAGGCTTTCTTGAAACTACTGATTATTTGTAACCAGCCCGTATCTGACCTGGGATGGATATGCTAAAGAAAAGTAGATTCTTCTTCCATTCATGCTTTCTGAGTATTGGTCTTGCTTCCTCAGCCAGAAGATACCTGCATCTATAAAGAGGAGGTTTCAGAATCTGTCACTGGGCTCTGTAACTGAGCACATGGCTCCACTTAGCATCTAGGAGAACTGGTCTAACAATGACTGAAAAGGGAAACCACTAAAACCAGAATGTATGCATGATAGAAATGGGGTGGTTTCATGAAATATGGGTTCTAGCCCCAAGACTTCCACTTTAACAAACCATGCAATCTTGGGCGAGTCATTTAACACCAGCAGTAGCGACAGCAATGGCTCACATTTACAGAAGGCTTAGGATGGGGCCTGGCACACAGGAAGCCCTCTGTAAGGTCACCTGCTATTATTACCATTGTCATTGTTACAGAGTGTTTATTATGCCTGCCACTAAGCATTTGGCATAATTATTATCTCATTTAATCCTAGAATTATGAAGGGAGTTTTATTCTTGCTATACAAGGGTAAACTGAGGCTTACAAGAGATTAGATTATGAGTCTAAGACTCTACAGGATTCAAATCTGGAGAGTCTAACCCCCTTGTTCCTGTGCTCTCAAATCTCTCTTGTTACGCTTGATTTCCTTGTTATGGATGTAGTTTCTCATCCATCTCAAGTAAAACTTGAAAGCTGGACTATTGATCTTTAAAACCCTCTAGTTTGGCCGGGCGCAGTAGCTCACGCCTGTAATCCTAGCTCTCTGGGAGGCTGAGGCGGGCGGATTGCTCAAGGTCAGGAGTTCAAAACCAGCCTGAGCAAGAGCGAGACCCCGTCTCTACTATAAATAGAAAGAAATTAATTGGCCAACTGATATATATATAAAAAATTAGCCGGGCATGGTGGCGCATGCCTGTAGTCCCAGCTACTCGGGAGGCTGAGGCAGAAGGATCGCTCGAGCCCAGGAGTTTGAGGTTGCTGTGAGCTAGGCTGACGCCACGGCACTCACTCTAGCCTGGATAACAAAGCGAGACTCTGTCTCAAAAACAAAAACACAAAACAAAAAAAACCCAAAAAACCCCTCTAGTTCTTGGCCGGGTGCAATGGCTCACACTTGCAATCTGAATGCTTTTGAAGGCTGAGGTGGGCAGATCACTTGAGGCCAAGAGTTCAAGACTAGCCTGTGTGTATGTGTGTGTGTGTATAAATATATATAAAATAAATAAAATCCCTCCAGATTTAAAATTTCTAGGTATATCCCTATTACCTTCACCTTTTCCTTCTCTTCTTCCTCCGTCTCCTCTCCCACCCCACTTATTCATGAATCTTGCTGGGTTCATCATCACGGGATCGGCAGGATGTTTTCCCCACTGAGTTATGACGCTGCATGTGTCAGCACATGGACCTGTATTGTGGCTTTTTTGTTTTACTTGGAGAAGGCAGGAGGGCTGGTTTACATGCTGCTGCTGGTGTGAGAGGGGGAATCTGACTCTTCAGTTTTACTGTCTTGTCTTGGCCTGCAGCCATTACCACCCTGAGTGACACTAACACTTGACAGGGTTTGAGAAAGCTGTCATCAGCAGAAGCCCGTGGGAATCAGCTCTTGGTGTGTTTGTGGGCTCTGCACTGCTCTCTGTTAAGTTCTGGTTTAGGAGACCCACACTCTCCAGGCTGTTTGCACACGTCCACAGTCCTGTGATTGGTCAGGATCTTAACAGAGGGACTAAACTTACGGGCTTTCCGTCCTATGTACGGCGTGGGTATTCTGGCAGACTTCCACACAGAGAGTTTCCCGGGCCATTTCATTATAGTTTCATTGTTATTGATATTTGTAAGTGCTTTCGTTGGGTAGTACCGGTAGTCTCTATGCTATAATACTATACGCTATATAGTCTGCAGTATTTTTTGGTGGCTGTCACCCAAAGGTTAGACTGTTTTGGCAGCAGGAGACCTGGGTTCAAGGGTTGGATCTATCACTTCTTAGCTTGGTACATCTGAAACACCTGCTTATTATGGCTTGTTCCTGATTATTCTTTAGGTGGGATCTTATTATGAAAAAAAAAAAGTGTCAGTTTGTTACTCTCCTGAGATTGGTGAATTCTTCCACTTAGAAACCTGGAGGAAGCAATTTAGGATCCAAATAAGGGCCAGGAGACACTGAAAGTGTTGGATAAGTTAATTTCTCTCAGCCCAGATTTCTTTGTCTATAAAAGGATTATATTTAATAGTACTACCTGTCCCACTCAACTAAAATGCCTACTGATTCAAATGAAGTATGGTATGAATATGTTTCTGAAAATTATATTCTATATAGACATCAGTTGTTTTTAGGAAGTATCATATAGCAAAACTAGTTGTTTTCATCACCAAAAAAAGCAAAAGCTATTAAATCTTTCTACTCTGTTTTTCCTCATTATAGATTATTTACTGTAGATAATAACCTATAGTAAAATTTCCTCGACTTTTTATTGTGCACCAATTGGAAGAATATGAGTTAAATGGTTCTAAACACTATCTGAATATTGTGTGTATTCAGTTATTAAGAATTGATATTTATTTTTTTTAAAATTTTATTTTTTGTGGTGGGACAGTCTCATTCTGTTGCCCGGGCTAGAGTGCCGTGGCATCGGCCTAGCTCACGGCAACCGCAAACTCCTGAGCTCAAGCGATGCTTCTGCCTCAGCCTCCCAAGTAGCTGGGACTACAGGCATGCGTCACCATGCCCGGCTAATTTTTTCTATATATTGTTCGTTGGCCAATTAATTTCTTTCTATTTTTAGTAGAGACGGGGTCTCGCTCTTGCTCAGGCTGGTTTTGAACTCCTGACCTTGAATGATCTGCCCACCTTTGCCTCCCACAGTGCTGGGATTACAGGCACCGGCCAAGAATTGATATTGTTCAAGGAGTATAGTAGCTGTTTTGTGGGAGCACATTTATTTTGTATTAATTCAGATTTTATTAATTCATTATTAGATCAAGAGTTAGGTTCAAGTTGTAGAAAGACATTGATAGCATTAACTAAACTTAAAGTCAATTAACTATTCTAATGTATACATAGAATGTAATTACAGTGTGAGTAAAGGGTAGATCTTTATATACTAATTCAAATTGGCCTAGATTGAAAATATGTTTCTATCACTGACATTTTTCACTGAAGCAAATATTCCCTATCCTCTTACTCCAAATGAACAAGATGACTCCATTTCTATTTTTCTTGATGGGTAAACCATGCTTGGAGATACCATCTGGAGAGCATTGGGTTTCTGCCAAGAATTTAAATCAGGCCTGAAAAGAGTTACCTGCCTAAGGCAAGAAACTACACTGATTTAATAGAGAAGAACATGCTTTTATTTCACCATCTGGTAAGAGAGAGTAAAAGTACTTTGAAAAGTTTTAATATTTGTTTTACAATGATAGCACTATATTATAGATAACAGTATTTCTAAAATATAATAATTGGGAAAATTAGGGAATCTAATTGCTGAAATTTGTGTAATTATTTACAAGTTTGATATGAAGGCTTATCCAGAGCTCTTAATGCTAAACATAGATCTTTCCATATAAAAGGTGGGGCAAAACAGGAGCATAGAGAGGTAAGGCAAGCTGGAAACCACCTCAGGCCCCCCACGGGTAGTGCCAAAAGCCCTAGACCAGTGTGGGTTGGGTATAATGTGATGATTATCCTTTTTAATTTGTTGTTTTTCTTTTTTCAAACAGATTTCTGCTTGACAGATTAACTAAAAGCAAGGAGGGGATAATCTGTCTACGTTCTGAGTATTGCTCTTGGCAAGACCCTTATAACAGACCTTAGGCCCAAGTCTGCTGTGCTACCATACTCCACCTCAACCCAGACATTATTCTGGGGTCCATCTGAGGTCAGCAGCGTGAAGATGACCAGCGCCTTCCTAGCATGACGACTTTGGAACATGTGATTGCTACCCACCAATCAGAGTGGGTCTCCTTCAATGAAGAGCCACTCTTTGCTGCCCCTTCCGAGGGTAAGGAGTGCCTTCATTTCCTAAAGTGAAGAGATTGGCAAAGAGCCAGGCCTGTTATGGCTTCGGCTTGATCATTCTTTGAATGAGATCTTAACATAGAAAAAAGTCAGTTTGTCACTTTCCTGAGATGCATGAATTCTTCCACTTAGAAGCCTGAGGAAGCACTGTAGGAACCTTAAGGCCCTAAAAAAGGGCTCTTTTCTTCCAAGAAACAAAGACTGAATATTTACAAAGTGCTTTACTCTCAGCCTTTTTAAAGTATAGTTGATAAGAGTGACAGGCTCTGGAGCCAGATTGCTTGGGCTCAAATCCTGGATCCACCATGCATGAGTGATGTGCCTTTGGGTAGATTATTTATTTAATGCATAATTTCATTATCTGTACAATGGGGGTAATTACAGTACCTATCTCACAGGTGGTTGTGAGGATTAAGTGAATTATTAACACACATAAAGTGCTTAGAACAGTGCCTGGCATGTGGAAAGAGCTCAGTATTGTCATCCTTGATCATAATGAAGATGACTTCCAGGGAACTGATGCTCAGGGATGAAGGTCAAGGTAGAGTCTGGGAAGTATTTGCAGAGCCATATAACTTGGTTCTGTTCTGAAGCTGCCAGTGCCAACTGAAATCATCCCACCTTCATTTGCAACACTTGGAAAGTGTGAGTTTGCAGGTGTGCTGTCCAATATGGTAGCCATGTGACTACTGAGCACCTGAACTGTAGCAAGTCTGAACTGAGATGTGCTCTAAGTGTAACATACCTACAGTTAACCTAGTTTTTAAAAAAAATTTCAGTATCTCATTAACAGTTTTTATATTGATTACATACTGAGTTGAATATGTATTATTGAAAACAGTTTCTCCTATTTATTTTTACTTTCTTTAAGGTGGCTACTAGAAAATTTTAAATTATGTATGTGGCTCACCTTTTATTTTTCTTGGGCAGTGATAATCTAGGAGTTTTGATTATAAGGAGGTGAACCAGTTTGTTTGGCTAGGGAGGGGAAAAAGGATTTTTTAGTTCTTTGATTTTTAAAAAGTTTTCATGCAGTACAATTGACTTCCTTTGGTGTACAGTTGATGAATTTTAGCACATTATAGATTTGTTCATTTACCACCATAATCAGGATATAGTTTTTTTATTTTCAGAAGAATTTTTTGAAGGCTATTAAATGTTCTAAGACAAGTACATTGAATACAATGCTATAAGAAGAACCTCTGTGTTCATTCAGCTGGTCATTAGTGCAGGGTTTGCACCTGGTGGTCTGTGAATGCGTGTAGCTTGGACTACACAGAGTTTGAAATTTGAATTTGTGTGTCTTCAGACAGAAGCTGTCCTGTTCAGCCACAGTCTCCACCAGTCTCTATTGCCTTTCACTTGTCTCGCTCAAGGTATATTGCATACTTGACCTCTGTAGGCATTTTTATTTGTGACCCCCAAGTGCTGGAGAAGCCACTGGGATAAGAATAGTGAAGAAGGCTCCTAGCCTCAGCCTGCCTAGACACCAACTGGAGACATGCTGAGGTTGTAGCTTTTACGCATGATTAGGGAAACAAGCCTATAGTGTAGAATCAGATGGGTGTGGCTGTTTCTTCTCCCCCACCCACTGTAATGTTGAGTCCTGTGGTCACCCCTTGCCCATCCTCAGTTTTTGCCTCCACGAGACAAATCTGAGGAGCAGCCTTTCTCCCATGATGGTGGTGTCTGATATCTGTTCCAGGGGGTACTGAAGAGCACCTCCCGGGACTGTCATCTTCCTCAGACCAGTCTGAGAACTCCTCTGGGGACAACCACGTGGTGGATGGAGGCTCTCAGGACCTTTCCCACTCGGAGCAGGATGACTCCTCTGAAAAGATGGGCCTCATCTCTGAAGCAGCCTCCCCACCTGGGAGCCCTGAGCAGCCCCCGCCTGACCTGGCCTCGGCCATCAGCAACTGGGTTCAATTTGAAGACGACACACCCTGGGCCAGCACGTCACCACCTCATAAAGAAACAGGTGAGACAGGCGGGAGGCCAGGAAGGTTCGGCACATGCTCAGCAGGGATGTTTTTCCATGGGAGGTCTGTAGGGCTGACAGGATGCCATTCTACCTGCTTCAAAGCCCTGAATGTCTTTCAAGGTGTGGACCAGACTATTTCTAATAGAGTGGGACTTGTTAAACATGTATATTCTCATGTTCCAGGCCTCTTACATCCAAATCTTGAGGGGTGGGGGCTGTCGTTAATAGTACTTCTCTTATTTTATGGCATTTCAATGGCCAGAAGCTGCACTGCGGAGCTTAGTGAAGCCATAGGAGTTGTTAGTCCCCACCCTGGTGACCTGGCTACTTGTTTTGTTGTGCACTGAAGCATACCAAGGGTGATCAGTGATCAAAGGGTAACCTTTGGGACTATTGGTTTTCTATTTGCTGCTGTAACAAATAACCACATTTAGTGGCTTAAACAGCATGAGTTTATCATATTACTATCCTGTATTTCAGGAGTCCATTATGGGTGTCACTGGGCTGCAGGGGAGAATGTTTCCTGGCCTTTTCCAGCTTCCAGAGGCCACCCGCATTCCTTAGCACCTGGCTCCTTCCTCTGTCTCCAAAGCCAGGAATATTGTGTTTTTTTCTACCTTTCTTCTCTCTGTTCCTTTTTTCTGAAGTCAAATCTTTTCTGACTCCATCTTTTCTAAGGACCTCTGTGGTCCCTACATTGGGCCTACCAGGATAATTTCCCCTTCTCAAGGTCCTTAACATAATCACACTTGCAAAGTTCCTTTTGTAAGGTAATATGTTCACAGGTTCTAGGGATTAAGATGTCCACATTGTTAGGGAAAGGGGCTTTATTCTGTCTGCTGGAGACGTGCTTGCCAAAAGCAGGGTTGTTGTGTTTTCCTGTTGCTGGGTTAAATGTTATTCTAATTTTACTTTTCAAAAACAGTTCCTTTGTTTTTCAAACATGCTTTCAACACCAGTGAAAATTATTTTAAGAGAATTTAAAACATAATTCTATCATATAACAAATGTTTCCATTTTTGCACAGTAATTTGCACATTTATGTATGCGTTTTCACATTTAAGCATCAGATTTCTCTGTGAATTGTTGGTAAGAGAGCCATGACACTCAAATCAGTGTGGAAGAAGCGACAGGTCCAGACAAGCTTCCCTTACTAAACACGTAACACTGGCAAGACACTGGGCTAAGTGTTTGTACATGTGGGAAAAAGTTACTGAACACTGGGCAGTGAAACAGCATAGAAATGTGTTCGTTGTGTTTAATAAGATACATTTACTGCATACTTATTCTCTCAGTTTCTGTGCTCTATGCTTTAATCTCATCATCTCAGGTACTCCTTACGACAGTCATATAAGGGAGATATGTTACATGTGGAGGAGACTGAGGCCAACAGGTTTGGGAATTTGCCCTAGGTTGTATGCTAGGAAGTAGCCGGGAGAGCTTTAGCACCAGGCAGGCTGGCTCCAGGGTCTTGGAGCAGCCTAGGGGTGAGCTGTGGTGTTTGCCTCATTCTTCCTGCTGCTGCTGCTACTCTGGTATCCTCTGCTCCCTCATTGCAGGGGAGGCAGGGAGGTGAGGGATGGTGGTGTTTCTCGCTCAGTCTTCCTGAAATGGCTGTGCCTTCAGGGTACTGATTATATTCATGTCATTCAGATTCTTTCACATCTTATTCATATCTTACCTTTAGCCTCAAAGATTTCCTGATTGCTCAAAACTATTTTTATGACAGATGGGTCAGTTTGCTTCAACTCTTTATTTATTTTTGCAAAACTAATTTCAAGGTTAGTCCTCATCATGTTGCCCTCATCTGACTGAGGATCTTACATTGTTATTGATAATGCTTTTTTTTTCTTTTTAAAAATTTTTAACATTCTTTTCTATTTTAAAAAAATTTTTCCTGGACTATCTATCAGATTAGGACCTGGTTAATGCTTTTGATATATTCTTTTTTTTTTTTTGGAATAGAGTCTCGCTCTCTTACCCAGGCTACAGTGCCATGGCGTCAGCCTAGCTCACAGCAACCACAAACTCCCAGGCTCAAGCGATCCTACTGCCTCAGCCTTCTAAGTAGCTGGGACTACAAGCATGTGCTACCATGCTTGGCTAATTTTTTCTATATATTATTAGTTGTCCATCTAATTTCTTTCTATTTTTAGTAGAGACAGAGTCTCACTCTTGCTCAGGCTGGTCTTGAACTCCTGACCTTGAATGGTCCTCCTGCCTCGGCCTCCCAAAGTGCTAGGAATACAGCCCTGAGCCACCACCACGCCTGGCCTGCTTTTGATAAATTCTTAAAGCTTTATTCTTTAAGGCAGCGGTGTGACCTATAGACCCCTGGGCTTCCCAAGACCCTTTCAAGGGGTCTTTGGGGTTAAAATTATTTTCATAACACTTCTAAAATGTTATTTGTCTCATTCACTACATTGACATTTACATTGATATGCAAAAGCAATGGCAGGTAAAATTTCTGGATATTATTTCCTCATAATAAAAAAATGTCAATTTTACTTAATATCCTTGATGAGGTGGTAAAACTTACCAATTGTTAAAAATCTTGATTCTAGAGTATGTCTTTTTAAAATCTGCTGTGATGGATTGGGAAATATGCAAAAAGCACTTCTGCTCCATACCAAAGTATAATGTTTATCTTAAAAAATGATCTTAAAAAAACTGAGTTTAAATATTTAAAAAAATTAAAAATCAAGATTATTTAAAATAAGACAGAGTCTCACTTTATTGCCCAGGCTAGAGTGAGTGCCGTGGCGTCAGTCTAGCTCACAGCAACCTCAAACTCCTGGCTCAAGCAATCCTCCTGCCTCAGCCTCCCAAGTAGCTGGGACTACAGGCATTCGCCACCATGCCCGGCTAATTTTTTGTATATATATATTAGTTGGCCAATTAATTTCTTTCTATTTATAGTAGAGACGGGGTCTCGCTTTTGCTCAGGCTGGTTTCGAACTCCTGACCTCGAGCAATCCGCCCGCCTCGGCCTCCCAGAGAGCTAGGATTACAGGCGTGAGCCACCGCGCCCGGCCTAAAATTAATTTTAAAAATCAAATAATACAAAAAATTTTTGATGAGCCAAGATGTCAGTATTTAAGGACAGGATCCAACTAACACTTTCATGACTCTGCCACACTTGACCCCTGCCCCCAATCCTGGCACTGGTTTCAATAAAACTTTATTTACAAAAATAGGTAGTCAACCTGTGGGCCATAATTTGTTCCTTTGATTTTGATTTGGTATTTTTAAAATATTGCATTAAGCCAGGCTGCGTGGCTCAAACCTGTAATCCCAGCTACTTAGGAAACTGATAACAGGAGGCTGAGATGGGAGGATCACTTGAGGACAGGAATTTGAGACCAGCCTGGGCAACATGGTGTGAGATCTTGTCTCTTTTAAAAAAAAAAAATTGCATTAAAATGTTGTTGATTACTGAGTTTTTTGACACCCCCTTAAATTTTATACCCAAGGCAAGTGTACTTGCCTTAGTCTAATACAAGCCTTGCATTGTTGTAAAAATATGAGATTGATCGATTGATTGATTGGCCGAGTGAGACAGGATCTTACTCTGTAGCCTAGGATGGAGTGCAGGGACCCAATTATAGCTCACTGCAGCCTCAAACTCCTGGGCTCAAAAGATTCCCCCACCTCAGCCTCCCAAGATTTACTGATATTCTTAGAAAATAAATCAAGAATGACAACTTTCAAATGCACGAAAACATGATTTTTGCTTGAAAACTGCTCAAACATGAATAATTCCATCTGTTTCCTTATGTCAAAATTTAACTGAACTCTGGAAATGGAACTATTTGTTGTAGGAAAAATGCCTCATCTGTAGGCAAGAATAAACCATGCATAGGGCCAGCCCCACCTCAGGCAGTGTCTCTAACCTAAAAACCCAGGAACCATGAAGGACTGTGCAGAGCATTGGGTAAAGAAAATGGTAATAAATCCAAGGACTCAATTTCAAATCTCCACCAATACCAAACTTGACCCATCAATGAACCTACTGAATGAAAGGCTGCAGAGTAGTTCCCATTACCCACACTAACCACTCCCACATGGGTTTACTCCCTTGTGAGTTTCCTTCAGTGACTGTGTTCACATTAAAGAAGAGTAATTGGCAGAGCTAAGGCCACAGGAGAAGCAGGAGAAGCTATGCTTTTACCCCCTCACCATGGATAATGTAGACATCCCCCAAGTTAGACAACTGTTCCATTCTGGAGGCTGTTGGGCAGCTCAGATTTAATTTAAATCCAAAATGTTTGGATACTTGTGCCATATATGGCAATAAGACCACGGATGTAACTGCAGGCATTACATAAAAATGACACAGATGTGTGCAGTGAGTAACAGCAATAGAGACAGTGTGAGACTTTCCTGCAGCCCCTGCTGCCTACTCTGTTTTTTTCTCTGATACTAAGCTGAATAATGGCACCCAAAGACATCAGGTCATTGTCCCTGGAACTTGTAAATGTTATCATATTTGGAAAAAGGGTTTTGCAGGTGTGATTAAGTTAGGAATACGGAGATAATCCTGGATTATCTGTATGGGCCGTAAATGCAATCACAAGCATCCCTATAAAAGGGTGGCAGTGGAGATTTTGCTCATGCAGAAGTGAAGACAATGCGAAGATGAAACAGAGATTTGGAGATGCTGGCCTTGAGGATTTGAGTGTTGAAGCCACAGCCACGAGATGCCAGCAGCCACCAGAAGCCAGCAAAGAACAGATGCTCCCCTAAAGCTTCTGGAGGGAGTGTGGTCCTCTCACGTCTTGATTTTGGCACAGTGATTCTGATTTCAGGCTCTGGCCTCTCAAGCCATGAAAAAATAAATTACTGTTGTTTGAAGCTACCAAGTTTGTGGCAATTTGTTACAGCAGCCACAGGACACTGATATACTAAGTCTCTAAACGCTTAACAATGGCACCCTTTGCATAAGGCTGAGAATAAATTACTCTGGGTTAGGGGAGCGCCTGTAATAGCGTAGGCTG